GATTCTTCTACAATTTGTGGTAGTTCATTAAATTCATTCAGGCCTCTATGAAACATGCTATTCATTCCAAATTCAGTGTTAGTTTTTTTTTAATGTAAAAATTGTTATTTCTTTTCGTATTGTAATCATGAACTTCATTGATTCTTACTGAGAACTTGAGTAACTGGGTAGCAATCCTTTTTGCAGCTTAAATATAAAGATCATAGTCATAAATTGTATACGTTCTTCAACTGAGAACCAGTTTAGACACTAGCATCAATTTGATTGCTGTGTAACGGCTACACCCCAATATAACCTCATACCCCGATTTTGAAGCTTTTGCAATTGTGCTATTTTATTTTTACCAAGTAGGAAAAGTAATGTTGAACAATATTCAAAATGAGGTTGAATTAAATTTTCGAAGAGAGTCAACCTAGCATACATAGACATTTTCTTACATATACGAGAGAAAAAGAAGAGTTTTTTAGATATTTTTTTTAGAAATATAATCAGCATGACTATTTAGTTTCAAGTTTTTGTCAATTTTAAAACCCAAATATTTCATTTCAGTTACATTTTCGATGTTGACATTATTAATTTTTATGACAGCATTTGCCCCAGACAATTTGATCATATTTATAAGATGTCAAAATCATACTTTTTGTTTTGCTGACATTTAGTTTGATTTTATTATGAAATAAATATGTATCAATTCTATTTAATGACCTATTCATTTCAACAATTGCCTGATCCAAGTTTTCATGTATACACTAGACCAATGTATCATCATCAGAAAGATTTATACAGTGTGGTCCAGAAATGTGGTGAATATCGTTCAGATAAATTAATAAATAGCAATGGACCTAACACACTACCCTGGGGTTTGCCACTCTTTATTATATGTTCATCTGACAATTCTTTTCCAAATTTAGTTTTTTGTCTTCTGTTAAATAGGTAACATTGAACCCAATCCAATACAATCCCCGATATCCCATAATACTTTAATTTTCCAATCAGAATAGCTCTGTCGATTGTTTCAAATGCCCTTTTGAGGTCGAGAAACGTTGCAACAATGTACTGATTTCTATCAATTATATCTTTCCACTCACTTACTAAAAATTGCAGAGACGTTTCACATGAGCGTTTAGCTCCAAACCCTGATTGGTTGCCCAGAAACCGCCAGAAACAATTCATTTGTATTAAATTACTGAATTAGTTTTTTTAAATACAGATAAGTTCAATAACTTTCTCCAGTGTAGTTAATATATTTAATGGCCTAAAATTTTCAGCTTTAATTCAATTGATTTTTGGTACAGGAACAACAGTGGAGACCTCAAATTGTTCAGGAAACACACCGGTTCTAAGAGATGTGTTAATTACATTTAATATTGCATAACCAGCTACATCAAAACTATTTTTTTAAAAATGATTATTCGAAATTTCTGCTTTATTAGTTCTGCCAAGAGAGAATATAATGCTTCTTAGTTTATTAATTGTTAAAGGCACGAATTCAGTGAAAGTAGTTGAAATAACAGGGTAGTCATGTGTCCACTGTTGTACATTTTGGAATACTGATGTTATTTCATTGACACTTTCTGTAAAATATGAATCGAAATTATTAGCAATGTCTATTCCCTTATTTGAACTTACATTTTGGTGATTAATCTCAAACTGTTTCCTACTACCAACATCTTGTTTTGGCTTAACAATTTATTTCAGACACTTCCACATTTCCTTAATATGACTTTTATTGTTATCAATAGTTTGTTCCTAATATAATCTCTCTTTCTTCCTTCCATATTGATTTCTACTGATCTTTTAGGTATTCCAACGTTCTTCTTTTAGACCACCCTCACAATGACTAAAATAATTACTTCAAATATATATTGTTTTTTCAGGGACAATTTCATTAACAATTTTTGACACATTTTTCAATAAATTCATGTTAAATAGAGTCCGACCACAATAACTTTGGGACAGCACGTGGTCGCGTATGCATTGAATATGCATATGCGTTGCGTCACATGCTGTCCCAAAGTTAACGTGGTCGGACTCTATCATCCACATTAACTGAATGATTGTTCCAATTACAGGATATTAATTGAATATTTATATTATGATACCCTTGATGTGTATATTTTCTGAAAGTAATTGATTTTTTAGGCAATTGTAAGTAGTCCGCAGATAAATTAATGAATATAGTGCTATGCTCTGAAATGTTAGGGTCATTTACAGCTGCTCTTACATTATCATAATTAGTAACAACAAAATCAATCAAAGTTTTTGAATCACCACAATATCTTGTATAATCCTGAACAACTTGATCCAACCCATACATATTAAATAGTATCCATCAGCAAATTTGTTTTCAATTACTTCCTCCAGAGCATCAATAAAAACAGGCTTATACTGGAACTTGGAGACCTATAAAGTCCCCCAATGTTCCATAGATTATTACCCATTTTGATGTTTATGAACAAACAACGAAAAGTAATACTCCACCGGTATATCCACTTGTACTAAACATCTGATACCTTTCAATATGAAGTTCAGTATCATCTATCTATATCATCAGTGATACATGTTCCACTAAGAACAACTACATATGGCTTATAACAAATAATGTTCAATAGAATATCAGCCTTGTGAGCTAAAAAACTACTAACATTTGAATATATAATATGTTGCTCAAAATCCAGAGAACTGACACAGCAACTTTCTTTGAATATTTGTCTCTACATGTTTTTTGAATTAACAATTTTAGGGACAGAGTTCACATATTTGATAGTTTTATAAGTATCCCCCTTTTCAACATTTTCTTTGAGTTTATCTTTAACCTGCTTGTAATATTCCCTTTGCATAATTGTTCGATCAAAAAACACCTTAACACTACCAGGTATAGTTGCCGTCAGACATATAAGATAAATAAAAAAAGACGCAAAAAATGGTCGATTAGCGCTCCCATGCCGACAACCAGGGTCGGATTAGTACATATGCGAAGAAATATTGTGATGCGTGCAGATTGTCCAGCTAAGTATGAATGTTATCAATAAGTTAATTCAATATCTGACTCAACCTTTCGGAGTATCCAGCCATTGTTAGAATATTAGCTGAAGAGCACTGTATTATACAGTGAGGGCGTGAAAGTCCTTCCCCCCTTCAACTTTTGAAAAGGTAAAAAGCTACTTCTCTTTCAACTTTTTGACATGAAAATGGTTGTGGTCACGTGGCCTTGTGTCAAGTGGCAAATCGGCCAATCGACCAAATCGGCCAATGGACCAAATCGGCCAATCGAACAAATCGGCCATGCGGTTGCAAAATGACAAGGTTTTGGAATTTGCTTCAAATATTAATATTAATTGATTAAAAACCTGAAAATAACTTTTAATTGCAATGCAATTTCAAGTAACAATTATTGTGAAGTGCTCAAGAATGCTAGAAATGTTCATCGTTCACTTATTGACACGAGAAAATCGTTTTGGAATTCAATCCTAACGTTACAGTTTCCGAAGTAAATTTCAAACGCTTGTCAATAAAAGTCTTGGCCGATTTGCACGAACGAAACGGTGTTGGATAGAGAATCGGAAAGCCTTCAAAACAAGGTAGATACCACGTGATCCTTTCTACATTTAAAAAAAAAGTTGATGGTGCCCACTTGATACCATAGGCCACGTGACCACAAACAATTAAATTCAAAGGTATTTTGACCTGAATTTTACCTGCTTCACTAGCTTGTTCAGTTCAAAAGTTGAAGACTTTTTACGTCTTCACTGTATTTAACTTATTGTAAGTATTGGGTGTATTTATCGAAAAAGCTGCTCACTCACGCAATTAGATATATTCAGAAAATCATTATTGTCATTAGAGTCATCCGACCCATCATGTCATTCCCAAGACCTGAAGAATGTTTCCATATTTTTATAATTATTGATATTCTTAAATAATAGATTGAGTAAACAACTGTCCGGTCGAAGACAAATTCGCTATATTAGCTTCGCGGACCGCATAAAAGTGTGATTATTATCACGTCCGACCCTGCATTGAAAAAAACATACATCCTTGCCGCGCGGGTCTTTGCATCTGCCGCGCCAAGTGTTACGTGGGGGCGATAGGTGGAATAATGCGGAATAATGCGAATAAAATGTGGACATTCCAACAATTCAATAGTTCCATTGCAATTTTTCTCTAATAAAGTTTAGTTGGTGAAACTGCATTTAGCATGCGATGGTTTTTTTTTTCGAAAATTTTTTTTGGTACTTACGCATTTTTGTCTGAAAAACACGAATTTGACAATGATAATGTGAACAAACCACTATTTATCGAGATATATCAAAAAAAGTTCGAAATTTCGACTCCTCTTTCCCCTTGTTGGATGCATTTACAGGTATTTGCTTTTCTTATTTTGTCATTGGACACTTTATATACTCATGATGTACTTCAATGACACATTTTTATACAGAAAATTCAACAAGAAATATGATTTTTATGGCGACTTTATTACTCATATTCAGTGAACAAGCATACCAGATGACGGCCATTTGATTAATAGTCAATCCAGATACGAGATGTCAAATGTCAACAGAGTGCTTCTGAATGACATTACACACGCCATTATTTCAAATGATATCCTTCCTTCTTTTCACTAAATATGGATAAATCACAAGAAAATCATATTTCTAGTTGACTCAATAACAGAAAAAAAATGTGTCTCACATTGTGATATATATAAATTGTCCAATGATGAAAAAAAAAGGGTAAATTGTTTTAAATTCAATCCAGAACACAGGCGGAAAAGAAGGTGAAATTTGTAACTTTATGGTGAAATATCTTAATAAATAATGGTTTGTTCACATTTTCATTATCAAATTCGTGTTTTTCAGACAAAAATACGTAAGTACAAAAAATTTTTTTGAAAAAAAAACCATCTAGGAAAGTTGAATACATTTTCATGCAACGGCATGTAGGCGTATACATATGCACTAATTCGCATTCCTTCTCTAGATTATATTCATATTATCTGTATAAAGTATAAATTATCTGAATTTCTGACAGTCGTGATCGAAGAATGCATTAAGTATCTTTTGAATGGATTGTATATACGCGAATATTCAAACTTTTTTATTTGTTAAGGTAATTTTTGTTGAATAACTTTTTGATGAATGGTAAATAATAGAATTATTACTCTGCATATATTTTTTCAATGAAGTATATCCAGATAACTGATCTCTAATTTACCTACTCCTATATTCAAACGAAGAGAATCAATAAATTCACATTCGATATTGAACATTAGCTAGATATTTCAAATTCTTCATTACTCTGCATATATTTCTTCAATTAAGTATCTAGAACTTATATCTAATTTACTTATATTTCCAAACGAAGAGAATTAGTAAATTCACATTCGATATTGAACATTAGCTAGATATTTCAAATTCTTGCACCACTTGCCCCCAACACTATGAGGCAGAGATGGAGAAGAAAAAACTATGCGTTTTTCTTACAATTTTCTCATTATCTTATACTGTTGACGGCAACTATAATTTGGACCTTTAATTTTTCCGACATCCACTGGAGACACCGACTTCAGCTAGACTAAATGGCTAAACCTTATCAGTTTCACTTTTTATTTGGTACAAGTTTTTACGCATAAAAACCTTCCGATTCCACTTGTAATAATTATGATTTATGTAAATTGCTGCACAAAATCATCCAAAACCCAAATGCATTATACATCAGGTTATTGAAGAGATTAATCTGCACATTTGGGTATAGTTTTCAATTGTATTATGCAAATTTTAACCACTTAAATCACACTCGGAACAATGAGCAGAAATCTACGACCTTCTCACATGAATATAAGTTTAAATTATACATACAGGATGGCCCATCGAAAACTTGACATGAGGGTTATGAGTAATCTGGAAAAACGCTTGGACAGGTCGATTTTAGTTTCGAGGGGGACATTGTGCCCTCCTACATGCAGCACTGTCACGTCAACCCTCGAACAGGTGGGTGAACAACCCTTGAAATTTGAATAGGGAATAGGAGTCGAGTGACACATCGTTTGAATTCTCGAAACAAGGGTCGTCAGTTTTTCAATCGGAATGAGCCATAATTTAGTTAAGAGTAAAATTCACTTACATTATTCTCATCTTAACAAATGCTCGAAATGCGCACCTCCACTTCCATGCAATGATAAAGATTTTATTGAAAACGTTCTCGAACATCTTGGAGCATGTCTGGGGTGATTTGGCGACATTCTTCTGTGATTCGCTGCCGTAAATCTGCTAGTGAAGATGGCAGTGTACACTGTGTCCCATTTTGGTTGAGACTGCACTGTATCTCAGCTATTATTGAAGATAGAGACATGCGGTGTTCGCGACCCTGTATCACTTTTTTGTAAAATTTTCAAATCCACAAACAGAAATATTCCAAATACTCTCGTTCCTGGAATACAGGGCGAAAACAAAAATGTTCACTTTTGGAGATACTATAATTTCTCAGGCCCCGTATAAGATGAAAAAAAAAACTGCTTATAATACATATTCCTACATAAAAGTCAGTGGCGTATTCTGATTTTTTTTTCAAAGCACTGTGTTCAAGATTGGGCACAAACTTGGTAATTTTTTAAATGGAACACCCTGTATATTTTGACGTCAATTTTTTGCATTTCATTTCCTAAATACACTGATATATCACGACCTAATCTTCATTACATTTTATCTTTAAAAATCAGAAAAATCCATATCTATGTTTTGAAAGAATTCACGGCCTACTATCAAAAAAACAAACACAAATATGGATTTTTCTGATTTTTGAAGATAAAATGAGATAAAGATTAGGTTGTGATATATCAGTGAATTTAGGAGAAAATGTGCAAAAAATTCACGTTAAAATATACAGGGTGTTTCTTTTAAAAAATACCAAGTTTGTGCCCAATCTTGAACACAGTGCTTTGAAAAAAAATCAGAATACGCCACTGACTTTTATGTAGAGATATCTATTATTAGCAGGGTTTTTTCCATCTTATACGGGGCCTGAGAAATTATATCATCTCCAAAAGTGAACATTTTCGTTTTCGCCCTGTATTTCAGGAACAAGGGTAGTTGGAAAATTTCTGTTTGTGGCTTTGAAAGTTTTACAAAAAAGTGATACAGGGTCGCGGAAACCGCATGTCTCTATCTTCAATAATAGCTGAGATACAGTGCAGTCTCAACCAAAATGGGACACAGTGTACTATAAACTCTGCTTTCAAAATGACCCCACAAAAAGAAATCTAAGGGAGGCTGGTCTGATGATCGTGGGGGCCATTCAAAAGAACCTCGCCTACCAATCCAATGACCAGGGAAGTGTTGATCTAAATATCGCCGAACAGGCATAGAATAATGTGGAGGAGCACCATCTTGTTGAAATATCAACTGATCTTCCAGATAATGATGATCATTTTCAATAATATTCGATAACATTGGATCAATTGTGTCTTCAAGCAGTTCCAGATACATTTCCCCTGTTGGATTGCCTTCTAAGAAGAAAGGGCCCACGATACGATCCCCAAAAATACCAGCCCATACGTTTAATTTTTTGGGATATTGCGTATGTACCTCATGAAATATATGGAGATTAGAATCAGCCCAATATCGACAATTATGGCGATTAACTATGACATAAATGTTTCACAGACACTGAGGATTTACAATCGCCTGCTCTCTTAGTACTTCATAGAATTGTAAACGCCGATCTTCATTTAGTTCTTGTGTCCACACGATACCACACACGAATGAAACTCACTTGTAGGACACACGTGAAAAACAGAAACTGCATGCTCTATCTGTTTGTTTTATTTCATTACAATATTTTCATGAGTACCGCGAAAAAACTGAGCAAAAACATTCAAAGTATCGTTGCAAATAAACGATAAATTGCAAAAACTTGCAAATGAGTGCTTCAGAGACGCACAAGTAAGCTCTCAACTATCGTACAGGTTTATTCCTGATTTTTTTTCCAAACGGTTCATCCCAACTTCAAAATCCGGACGCCGTTGGATAGAGAACTCAACGGGCTTTCAAAAAATGTGCCACTCCACCATTATTCCGTATTAAAATTTTAGGGGTTGTTTACCTCACAGCTCGAGTGTTGCAGTGACGGTAGTGCATGTAGAATAAAAAACATTTCCTCCTCGAAACTAAAATCGACCTGTCCGAGGGTTTTTGCTGCATTCATGATTTCCTATGTATAATTGTTTCAGAGGAAGATCTTATTATAAGTCAAAAGGACTATCCGGATGCGAAGAAACATGATATTGTGGAAATCTACCACCCATGGCCTGAGGAAGATAACCAAAAAATCAAGAATAAACCAGAACTAGAAGAAGAGTTCCCAAGACTTCTGCTCCAAATTAAAGCTTTCACCGATGATTTGTTACAAGCTAGGGAAACCATCAGCATCGAACAAAGCATTGCATCAGCATTTGGCTTACAGACATATAAGAATGTAACAATTCGTATTGTTAACCCATCAGATGTAGCTTTAGATTCCATAGAGCTTACCTTTAAAGACCAGTATATGGGTAGGTCAGAGATGTGGCGACTCAAAAACAGTTTGGTAAGTTTTTTATATTTTTGAATTTTTCATGGTCAACTTGATGAAAATCCATATTCGTTGTGAAAATTTCCAAAATAATATGATTTTCACAAAATTTTTAAAAACATACATGTTTTGCTAACACAGTAGCTTCTTCAAGTAGAATAATGGTACAATGAAATAACCTAACATTGACTTACATAATTTATTGTGAGCAGGATTAGCTACTTCATTTTGTATTCATAGTTCTAGAAAAATCGAAAATGACTCAGGATATAGATGCAATGATTACTTACTTACATGGAAATGAAATAGTTAAATGAATGTTCATTTACTCTAATTCGAATTCATTCGCCAATCTGAACATTGATATTTACTTATTTAGCAAGCAATCGAAATTGCCTATAAAATTTAGATGGCTGTGGGCACAACACAAATGCAATGGAAACAAAACAGGCATTTTTTGACATCTCTAACAGTTTTTCCGTATAGGAAAAATACGGGTTAGTAAGATTATATTATGAAAATATTGCAAACATATCAGTAGTGCAGCAAGAATTTAGTTGAGAACGGCTCAAGGAAACATTAGCAGGAGAAAAAGATCTTTGACAAAAGTTGAAAATATACACGGTGTTCCATTCAAAAAAACTACTGATTTGGACTCTTTTTTTGCTATTGGCATTCATTTATTCAAGCAGTGTCAAAAGATAGTACAGATGAAACCCTACATATTTTGAATTTGAATTTTTCTCCATTGTATAGTTGAACCTGTAGGTAGGGGTCAAAATATAAGAAGACAACCTGTACACTGTACTTTACTCCCTTATTATTCTACTCATTATTTCATTATTTTTCAATTATTTCACTAAAATAGTACGTGATAGACAAAAAGAAGTTAGGTATTCATAATAAGTGGTGTGTATGAATAAATATACAGGAAAAATTCAAGTGAGTTGCTACTTAATTTTTTTAAATTTTGTAACGCAATGTAATTGGCAATGTTGAACTGATCATTATTTCTGTTCAAGCGATTTTTTCATCGAAATTGAAAAAAATATATTGCACGTAACTAGTTAGGAAACGCGCCATTTTGTGTGACGATGTGATTTTGCGGGACGAGAATTCCAGAACTTCAATTTCGTTTGTTAAATGGAACACCCAATATATATACATTCTCTTTTGAATCGTTTAATTGTTGATTCTAATATAGAGGGGTTGATGCCTCTAGCATTAAAATTTTCTTAATATGCAGTATCTCTACACTTGCTACTGATGAAAGTGAAGTAGGATCTGGTTAATTTTATTCGTAATTTGCAACATTTTATTTCAGGTCAATACCTGCGTTTACATGAACAAAAAAATCGAATTTTGTTGTGCAGCAGTCAGGTGCCAAGTATATGAAATGTGGGCCCAAGGAGATAGAGTGGCTTGTGGAGTGATAACTGAGGACACCAAAGTTGTTTTCCGATCATCAACGTCTATGGTGTATCTGTTTTTACAGATGTCATCAGAAATGTGGGACTTCGATATTTACGGTGATTTATATTTTGAAAAAGCTGTGAACGGTTTCCTTGCTGATCTTTTTATGAAATGGAAAAAAAATGGTAGTAACCATGAAGTGACGATAGTTCTTTTTTCGAGAACTTTCTATGAAGCTAACAACTTGGAAGAATTTCCACATCACATGAGAGAGTGCCTACAAAAAGATTATAGAGGAAGATATTATGAAGATTTTTATAGGTAATATCAATATCTCTTCAAGTATACAATTTATTTCAGAACATTATTTCCTAATTATCAACTCGTTTTCTGACTTTGTTCTTTTGTCTGAATTCATAAGGCATTTCACATTATTGGGAATATAACTTTCCTGATTTCATATAAAACTAGTGAAAACCGCATATTATGTTCATTCCTAAGACTATTAGAGCTAACAAAACATGAATAACCTAGGCAAACATTGTTTGAACTAGGAGAGAAATAATACAGTACTTGGTATTCTGATTTTTGGAATAACGATTGCAGTTTCTTCGGAATGGTTACTTTATTTTCGTGATCAAGATGATAACCTTCAACATTCTGTATTTATGGAACGAGAGATTACCAAACCTAAGATAGTAGAAACTCGTCATTATTGATTGATCGATTGATGAGGCGATTCATGTGAATTAATTTGTTGAAATATGATTCATTCAGGTAGCTATTTTATAAATTGATAAAAAAATTATACATCTCTCAAATTAGAAGAATCCAGTATGTTTTGTTGCAACTTGAAGCTAAACTATAGGCATATTTATTGGTATTCATCCATACAATGTACAACTAACTTTTAGGCTATGGAATGAAGTCCTTTAGTCTATAATTATAGTGAGATTATTAACATGAAAGAATTACTATACAATTTGAATAAAAAAAAAAAAACCACAAATAATCTCTCTCAAAGAGGGGTTGTCCTGGATGTTAGTATAGCCTCTGTACTTTTTTCTTGCCTCTTGAAATGTTCATATATTTGAATGTTGAATATATAAGTTTTCAATTACAGTATCTGTTTCAGAGTTGCAATTCAAAATGAGCGATATGATGACTGGAGTGTGGTATTAGTTCAATTGAGAAGAATTTTCCAAAGTTATTTGAAAATTGTGTTGGAATATCATTCCAGGCCTGGATTGATTATACCTATTGCTAGTAACAGTACTGCAGCTCAAGGAAACTTCTTAGAAGTTTTGAATATGTCTTTGAATGGTAAGAATCTTTATTCATTTGATAATATTCTCACAATATACAGGGTCAGTCAGAATAAGATCGACAAACTTCGTATGCGGATTCCTATCCTCATTTAGAAGTGAAACGTTTCTATCAACGTATGCCCTAAAATGCAAAAAATCAAGGTTTATATTAATTTCTCCTGAACCCCTGCAGGAACAAATTACGCTAATTATACTATTCCAGAATAAACAAAGTGAGTACATGGAGTCTTTATTTTTTGGATTTCACCCCTGTTTTCATTTGAAAAAATCGTTCATTACGTCATTGCTCCAACACCGGTGACGTAACATCTCTCATATGGATATCATGAGATGAGGCTTCAAAAATGAAACCTCACGTGTTTTTGGAATTTTTCAAAATGTCGCCCATTTCTGAAATAATGAATTCATTCCATACATTTGCATCATACTGTATATATATATATATATAGAAGAAGAAAGATAGTGTGTATGAACACAAAGCCAGAGTATGAAGTAAAAGATTGTAGGTTTAATCCGTTCCGTGAGTGGAATGTCAACTGGTGCAAGACAGTCTGTTTCAGCTCGCCAAGCATCATCAGTTGCACTAGGCCAGTCGACAATCCACTCACGGACCGGTCACTATTTGAAGACCAACAGGTAGTCTTCAACAGTGCGGAATACGGATGTTTGGTACAGTGCCACCTACTAGCACTAGACTGCTAGTAGGTGGCACTGTACCAAACATCCGTATTCCGCACTGTTGAAGACTACCTGTTGGTCTTCAAATAGTGACCGGTCCGTGAGTGGATTGTCGACTGGCCTAGTGCAACTGATGATGCTTGGCGAGCTGAAACAGACTGTCTTGCACCAGTTGACATTCCACTCACGGAACGGATTAAACCTACAATCTTTTACTATATATATATATATATATATACTTATTTCAAATTTCATCATATTCAAAGATTTATTACTATCAGATAATGTAAAATATCAAAATATTACCTATTACGAAAAAACAGAATGAGCGCATCGAAAAGTTGAGAGCGAAATTATCTAAGAATAATAAAACTGAATATGATAACGATCACACAATGCAAACTAACATAATATCATGAAGAAACCGAAAGAGCGTATCAAAAAAGTGATCTAAAATGATAAAGCTTAATTCGATAAATAATATGTAGTTATTTAGTAGTAGATTTTAGCTCTAGGTTGTGTTGTCACCTGACGCTTAGCAAAGGGAGACAAAAAACCGTGAGCTAAAATCAATATTTTTCCAGTGTATAATACACATGTATTGTCATTTTTCAAGTAAAAGAGTAGCGTTGTTATGTATCGAAAAAAAAAGTATGTTTCATTAAAAAAATGATAAAAAAAAATCTTGAAGATTGTCTAAATAAAAGACAGTTCCCACTTTCTCGTGTTTTATTATCCACTGTTTTACAACAAGTTATGGGCACAGGTCGTAAAAACCAGAAACAAAGCCTGTGTGTGCTCATAGTGAGAGTATAAGAGTTGCTAATAGGTGCGAAAAAGCAGAGACACCACATTTATGTTCCTGGGTCCAATTTCAATGAAAACGGAAAATGGACCAGCAAATTTTCGAACTGGAATCAACTGGTGATAATTGGGTGGAGTGGAAATTTCAACCACCGTTCTACTCAAAAGCCGAGGAATATATGAAATTTTCACTGGTGCAGAAACCAGACCTATAACTGAAGGAGATGAGTTAACAAAATGGAAAAAAGGGGATGCTACAGGACAAGAGGTTATTTTTACTCAAATGGAACAGGCCCCCCTCACACACATTCTGTCCTGTGAGGCATTCAAGGATATGTGGACCAAATTGAAATCAGTATATGATATAAAATCTGTAGTGAGCGTTCATTTACTTCAGCGAAGATTCTTTATGCTCGATTCTGGTTCAAAATCAGTTTCTACTTCCTATAGAATAGAATAGAATAGAATTTATTCATATCGCCACAGCTACCACCATAGGTGGATATATACGTCAAAGTATAGGTACAAGTCTAAAATACAATACATCTCAGTACACAAAATTAAAATTTACAAAACAATAGCACTAGTTAATAACATTTGTTAACAAGGACAATTAATAAAAATCATCACAGTTCATGTAGTAAGTTCGATGCATAGTACTCATCGATGCTATAATATGCCCCTTTACCAAGCAAACGTTTCAGGACATTTTTAAATTTACCTGTTGGCATCTCTCTGATTACTTGAGGCAGGTGGTTATACAACTTGATCCCAGTATAGTTCGCAGATTTTTCAAACTTGGACAATCTATGTTTTGATATCATGAGGTTATTGGCATTTCTCGTGAAATGATCATGGCAGTCAGAATTCTTAGATAGCCTATTCAGGTTGTGCTTGACGTGCAATAGAGTCTTTAAGATGTATATAGATGGTAATGGTAGGATGCAGTTGTCCACAAACACCTGCCTGCAAGTACTACCGAATGGAATATTGAATATTAGTCTCATTATACGCTTTTGTTTACTAAATATTTTTTTGGCGTTTACAGAGTTTTCCCATAAACAAACATGGTAGGTAAGGTGACTGTAAACTAACGAGTAGTATATCTCAATAATCGTGCCCAAATTTAACGTTTTTTTAAGTTGCACTATAGCATAATATGCAGAGTTGAGTTTCTTACTCAAGTGTTCTATGTGGGGGTCCCAACATATAAATTGGTCCACAATAACACCTAGAAACCTCACCTCTGACACACATGCTATATCAGGTATGCACACCGCGGGCTCACCTTTTTTGCATCTGAAATGCATGTAAACTGTTTTACCAAGGTTCAGTTTTATATGATTTCCATTACACCACTTATGAAAAGTATCGACTACATATGATATTCTTTCATGAAGCCCCCCAGAAGTATGTGACGTGACCACTACAGAGGAGTCATCCGCATACATTATTATCTGATCATGGATATGTTCTGGCAAATCATTGACGAATAAGAGAAATAAAAGCGGCCCCAACACAGATCCCTGCGGAACACCCATATCTATATTATACATATCAGACCTTTCGTTTGTAATTTGCACATAGTAACTTCTTTCAGATAAATATGAGTCCAATAAGTCCAACATAGATCCTCTTATACCATAAACATAAAGTTTATCCTTCACCAATTCTCTTTTGATGCTATCGAAAGCTCTGGTTAGATCAAAGAAAATACCTGCCACATATAACCCTTTGTCCAAACAACTATAGACAGTGTCCATGAATTCAAGGGTAGCTCCCTCAGTTGATCTTCCAGGTCGAAATCCATATAGATTATTGGACAAAATTTCATTTTTTTCTAGAAATGTGATTATCCTGATATGATATGCCCGCTCAAAGATTTTTGAAATTACATTCAGCAGAGAGATTAATCTATAGTTGTCGATACATGTAGGATCCGCTTTTTTGTATACTGGGATTAGTTTACTCAATTTCAAGTCGTGTGGAAATACTCCGGTTTGAAAGGATAAGTTGATCAAGAATGCAAGAGGTTCTGATATCACATCGATTATATGTTTGATCAATATGATATTAATTCCATCATCACCTACAGAGCGTTTATTTCTAATATCACTGACAATATCTACAATTTCCGCATTGGTGACAGGAAAGTAAGCAAAACTGTTTGTTGTCCAATTAGTTGTGAAGGTGAAATTGTTAGTATTTTCATTGAAGAAGAAATAAGAACGAAGATGAAACAAGCTGGAGAAGAACTCTCAGGAAAAATGATGACGAAAATGTTGATGTCATTACCAGAAGAGTATAAACACTTCAGGTCAGTCTGGGAATCTGTGTCAGTTGATACACAAACACTTAGAGAGATGACATCAAGGTTACTCATTGAAGAAGAGAGGACAAAGTCTACAGAAGGCACTACAGCATTAGCAGCAAGAGGAAATGAGAGGTATGTTTCGAAAGGAAGACTCATGCAATATGTGTCATAAGCCAGGCCATTTACGAAAGAACTGTTTCTATAATAAAGAAAATTCGAAGGAGGTGAGAAACAGTGTACATTTTGTAAGAAAAAAGGCCACAAGTTTCAACATTGCTGGTTCAGAAAAAAATAATAATGACAGCAGGAAGACAAAGACAGGCAAAGAAGAAGATTCCGATTCATTAATGGTAATGTCTCGAACAAAAAATAAAAATGATTGGTGTCTTGCTACAGGAGCAACTGAGCATATGTGATGAAATTCAAAACTTTTTGAGAGCCTATTAGCTAAAAAAACTGAAAGGAAGGTGCAAGTTGGATATGGTGAAAAACTAGGCATTAATGGTGTTGAAAATGTCACTCTGTTGACATTTAATGGTGAAAAACTCACTGAAATGTTTTATGGGTTCGGAACTTGAAGTTTTACCTGTTTTCAGCAGGTTGTGCTCTTGACAAGAGATATCAAATGAAATCAGACCATGAAAAATGTGAGTTTGTTGACAAGAATGGAAATGGTCGAGCACTTGCTACACGTCAAAATAAACTCTATAAAATGCTCTTTCTTCTGGATGGATATGACACAAAGTCAGCAAAATGAGTGTTTCAGAAGGTACTATTAGTGAACTTGATGAAAGAGATGCAAATTACACCAACTCAAATACTGAAATGATTTCATCAGATTGCATGGCAGTCAAAACAGTTTGATAGTGTGGCATTATACCCACATCCCAGGCAGCACAAAGAGGTCCTGAAGATATCTTGAAGATATCCTTCCAGGACATTGTGATGCTTTTTGTAACTTCTTCAAGAGATCGCCGAGAGCGCTATAACTCCTCCAAATGTCCGCCCCCTGAATGCTCATACAATGCCCTCCGGCGAGCACTTTGGGAAATTCGCATCAATCGCCACTAGCGGACCTTAAAGTACACGCGACTACGAGCTGTTTTAGATTTTCGCAACCACTGCCTTGTGACGAGGATATTCGGAGATTTTGCATCAATTGCTACTGGCGAGGTCTTTAAGTGCTCGCGACTACGAGC